TTAGGATAATCACCATAGTTCCTCGCCAGGAGCACTATTTTCTGATATAATAGACTTTGCAAAGATATCCAATATGACTAAATAGTTAATTGCATCAATGAATAGCCATGATCAGTCCAAGAATGAACTACCTACTCTTTTATTCTCCACTCTTCCTTTTATCACTTCTCTTCGTCCTTACTCTTACTCTGGGATTATAACACTATTAATAAAATGCTTATATGCATTCTCTTTATTTTTATTCTTAGGGAACCAGACTCAGACAGATAGTCTGGGCATTATTTGACACCCACAGTCTCAATATATAAAAATGCAATTAGCAGATTCAGCAATTGACCTGGGTACTGGAGAACAAAAGCCAGATTAAGTTCTTTCTCACTCCTATGATTCAAGAAATGCAATGAATTCTTTATTTTGATTATCATAGAGCTTCTGGACCTATTTTCTAAATATGAATGTTAATATTTTACATCCATATTCATACCTACACTTGCTATATTTAAATATTTTATTGTAAGTTTAAGAATTTTGTAAATAAACAGCTATAATTCTCTCTGAACAGAAATTTTAAAATTCATTAAAAATGAAAGTATTTATTTATTAGAGATGGTAGATCTTGCAAGCAATTCCATTCTTACAGAATTACTAAAATATAAAACACCATGGAAATTAGATAATTGATGGTGCCGGAGTGAAATTATATTTAATCAATAGCACAGAATAATAGGAACCCAGGGAACCATCAGAGAATTCATCTGTAATTTTAAATTGGGCATCTGCCAAATGACTATGCAAACTAACCAATACCTTTAAAAGATGGTTTCAAAGGCAAGTTAATGTCTATGTCTCTAGTTTACTTAACCCTCACAGTCATAAATTTCAGTTTTTCAGTGTTACATCTATGTGGCCAAAGAAATAGTACAGCATATGTTGGACACTTGCCTTGCACGAAGCTTACCCAGATTAAATCCCCAGCACCCCATATGGTCTCCAGAGCCCCCTAGGTATGTCCCCAAAACAAACAAAAGAAACTACATAAATTCTTTGAATAATTAAAGCTATATCTTCAGATTTTACATAATGTGAACAGAAAAAGAGCAAGCATGTAAAGAATGTTTCTGTATATTTTGCAAAATGTTTAAAAGTATGATCTTCACTGGTTCCAGATTTAGGGTAGAAAACTATTTCTCAGAAAAATGAGGATACATATTATTTATTTGTTACAGTATTATTTTTTCATAGATGAAAATTTAAAATTTACATAAAGTACTTATGCAATAATTAACATTTCAGGTATCTGATAACACATTCCTTTTCTTTTCTTTATTTTTTCTTTTTGGGTCACACAGGGTTATGCTCAGAGGTTACTCCTGGCTCTGCACGCAGGAATTACTCCTTGCGGTGCTTGGGGGGACCATATGGGATGCCGGGAATCGAAGTTATAATCCAAGTTATAATATTGTTGAATGTGCAAGGCAAACGCCCTACCTGCTGTGCTACTGCTACAGCCCCAATAACGCATTTCTTATCTTTCAATTAATAGTAATATCTTTATAAACTTTTGAAGTCCTATTTGTAGTTTTAATATTAAGGAAACTTCTAAAAAGATTATTTAAAATACGTTTATACTGATATGCAATACAGTTACAAAATACTTGTAATATAAAAGGATATTCATATGCAAATTAGATAGAGAGGGGACTTAAAGCACAGAATTATAGCAGGGTCCTGTCAGTTAAACATAGAAGTGCTGAAAGAATAACTGGGGGAAAACATTTTAATGTTTATTCCCTGTTTTTATTTTAGTTGAGCCTCACTTTTCCTTCATGAATATTTTTCTTTTTATGCTACTTTTTTGTGCCTAATTTTATCTTTCAATATCTTCTAAAGATATTTAGATAATTTAAACAGAATGTAGAGATAATATAATCAGATAAAGATGAATAACAAATATTACACCAACATTTATTTAATACATGTTGGTTTAAATATTATAGAAATTGTCAAATAAGCCTTTGGATTTCTTATAGTTTTAACAACTCCACCATTAAACTATCTAAATGATATGAAACAACCAGACACCTCAATGTAAAAAAGCTGGATTATTAATAAATTTATAATGAGAAAATATTTGCCTGATAATTTTTTTTCCATTTTGACCCAACATTTATTGTCCTTTTACAGCATGTCATTTTTAGTTTAGAAACTGTTTGTGATTAGTTTTTCAACATTAACTCAAAAGCATGTAAAATGAAATCAACCTACTCTCTATATCAACACCCAGCAACTGTGGCCCTTCACCCTCCTGCCCAGGTAGAGTAGGAGGAAGGGGGGGGGGGGGTCAGGCAGCATTGAGTGAAGTGCAGATGCCTACTGTGGGAGTGGCAGTAGAGCCATTGCCTGATAAATTTTTTAGTGATTTTGTTGGTATCAAAGTCAATCTCAGAGCAATGAAAACCATTTGTTTTCAATTTGGTGAGAGAAAATATGGCTAACTCACAGAGTTTTGCAAACAGCAACTTAGAGAGTATAAATATTACTACATAGTGGAACTATGTAGAATTTGATAAAACATATGGTTAGAATGCAAAAATCCCCAAAGTTTGTCTATTCTGTTACAGTTATGTTTGGCAGTTACTAGAAACTTTGAAATATCATTTTAAATGATATTTTAAAATGACTGATCCTTCACTTTGATCCGTCATTGATCCTTTCTCATTGATCCTTCCACTAGGATATATTTCCCGATCATGTGAATATTATGTGAATTTATTTCTTTTTATTTTTTTTTTCTTTTTTTGTCACACCCAGTGATGCTCAGGAGTTACTCATGGCTCTGCACTCAGAAATTACTCCTAGGAGTGCTTGGGGGATCATGTGGAATTCTGGGGATTGAACTCCCATTGGCCGCGTGCAAGGCAAACACCCTACTTGCTGTACTATTGCTCCGGCCTATGTGAATTTATTTAACATTCATAATCTAAGACATGTTGCCCATTATCTCACATCAACCTTTATACCTCATTGATTTCTTGTCTTAAATTGACTTAAATCCTAGAATCTAAATACAAAGATTCTTCTACTGGCCATCACTAGACTTTTCTGAATAAGAAACTTTTGTAATGTCACAAAACTTCATACTTCTTCTGAAATTTCATTTCCTTTCAAGATTACATTGTTTTTTTTTTTCTTAACCTGTAACACATCATTCTGGACTGTTTATTCATGCATATCTTGCAGATACCAAAACACTTTTAGGGACAAGAACACTGATGATTGATTCTACTAAGGAAACAAGTCTTCAGCTGATATTAGGAGGTTCTTCATGTTTTCAAGTCTCAACAATTCAGAGGAGTTATATCTTAGATAACTTGTAATAGAAGTATAAAAATCTACTAAATTAGTATCACACCTGTTATCAGTACTGCTTTAGTCTACCTATTACAGGTATTTTCATTATAGGCATCACGGTCAGGGTCTTCCCGTTGTTCATCAATTTGCTCGAGCGGGCCCAGTAACGTCTCCATCATGAGACTTGTTGTTACTGTATTTGGCATATAGAATACGTCACGAGTAGCTTGCCAGGCTCTGCCGTGCGGGCGAGATACTCTTGGTAGCTTGCCGGGCTCTCCGAGAGGGGCGGAGGAATCGAACTCGGGTCGGCCATGTTGGCTGCTTGTGAGGCAAACGTCTTACCACTGTGCTATCGCTCCAACCCATCATTATAGGCATTAGCCATTATATCCATCCAATAGATGCTGTATCTGATAAAATTTGTATGAAGTCAAATTTTAATTTATAAGTATTATGTAAAATAACGATGTAGCACTGCACTGTAGCACTGTCCTCCTGTTGTTCACCAATTTGCTCGACTGGGCACCAGTAATGTTTCCATTATGAGACTTGTTGTTACTGTTTTTGGCATGTCAAATACGCCACAGGCTCTGCTGTGTGGGCGGGATACTCTTGGTAGTTTGCCGGGCTCTGAGAGGGACGAACGAATCAAACCCGGGTTGGCCGCATGCAAGGCAAACACCCTACCCACTATGCTATTGCTCCATCCCAAAACACTTTTGGGGACATGAACTATGTATATCTCTCCAAATACAAAAAATAACTATGTATCTCTCCAAATGCAACAACTAATCAAATATTATAGTTGACTTTAAAAAATAGATTATGACATTTTAAATTTATTTTCAATAGCAAATATTTTACCTTTGCACAAAAGAAAAAAAGAAAATATGCATTGAAAGATTTTAATCTGTTTTTTTTTATTTATTGAATGTGTCTGTGAGGGAGGACCTGGGAATGTGGGGGATGTTGGGCCAAGCCTGAAGGCTTACTCCTGGTTCTAAGCACAGGCATCACCCCAGGTGGAAATCAGGAGACCAAAATTTAATAATCCTATATCAAAACTCACTGTTAGCAATTTTTCAAGTTTTCAGCTGTTCCAAAATAGCAAGAAAAATAATAAGAAAAATAATCTTCTAGCTCTTCCCTATGACAAGATGCTGAGGTCAACACTGAGATCACAGAGCATAATATCCAGTTACTAGTGAACGTATCAATCACTCCCACAATGAAAAGCAGACACCTTTCAAATTTCCCTATCAATGCCATTTATTATGTGTCTTCAACTAGTAAGACTGGAATAAAAAAAATGAGGCAGATGAGTACAGAAGGCTGTACTGAAAAGTCCGTAGCTAAAAGTAAATCCACCTAAAGGCAAGATTCTTTTATCTCAGCCCAGCGTGCAGCTTATCTTTAATATGTAGCTTTTAAATTCAATTCTGAGTCATTTAAATCGCCGTAAGAAAAAGTCTGTGTCAAGGAGGGATACTGAAAAATCCATTTACGTTGGAGTTATAAACTTGTAGAAAGATTTCAAGATTTTTTATTACAAAAGAATCCAAGATGTTGGGTCTAACAAAGGTAAATGTCACAAAGAAACTGAAACTCAGACCCAGACAAATACACACATATATATATAGTTTTACCTTGCTGCGTTGGGATCCTGTGACCTTAAGGAAGGATGAGGACAAGAAGCAAAATAGCAATAAACAATTGCTCTGAAGACAACTGATAGACTATAAATGGTGTGCACTTCAGAAAAAAAAACATTATTATTTGCTGTTGACAGCTCATTATAATTTACCTACTCCTTATGAATGAAGATGGACTTGGAAACAGAATTTATATATATAGACATCAGAAGTGATCACAGTGCCATAGAGGACATTCATCTTATGATATTCTTCTCAGCAGCAATAGTCATGACTTATTATTAACATTTATTTTTATATTGTGTTCAATGTTGAAGAAATGCTCACATCAAATTTTTCCTGAAAAGGGCACAAATCTATGTCTACTTCTCAACTGTACCTTTTATGTGTGTATGGCTCCACTATAATTAAAGTGTAAACCACTATTGATTATTAATATATTTCCAGTCTTCCAATTAAAAGTCAAGACACATAGATTAATAGGAAAAAGTATCCATTCTATTTCCTTTCTTTTTCTTAATTTCTAAAAAATATTAGATTAATGAATAAAGTTAACAATAACTTGTTTTGGTTATAAAAGAGTAAAGATACAGTCTAAGCAAATGGGGGAAATAATATCTATTTCCCTTCTCACTAATTAATATTGAGCAAGATTTCTAGCTATAAGGATATTTAAAAGCTGAGAATATTTGAGAAAATAAACAAATAGCACATAGTCCAGTAATATATGCACTCCTACCTCATGCAAGCAAACTGCATCGTGTGCCATCATCTACATATGTACAGGGAATGAGTGACCCAACTGAACAGAAGTCAAAAAGGGTGAATTTTTTTACTTCCTCAGGAAAAAAAAAATCTCAGAGTTTAATGAAAAGTTAAACATTGTTCTCCAATTAGTATTTTTCTCACACATCTGTGGAAAATTTTATATTGTAACATACACCAAGATGAGAACAATTCAAAGTAATCTCATTTCTGAGAATTCTCAGGAACACTCATTCTCAACATATGGCTTTAATTTGATTGTTTAACTATTCTATTTTCCTTGTTCTTAACTTGAGCAAATCTTGACTCAGATTTGTCTGCCCAGCTTCTCACATGCAGGTCCTTGATACAATAAGCTGTAATAAGCCATGAAGCAAGAAACATAAATGTCAGTTAAAAGCTATGAAACAATGTTTCAAGGTAGGGAAAAGGAAAATCTAGAAAGATTCATCTTACTTCAAAACTCTTCACTTCCTCTTCACCATCATCATCTTCCTCATCATGACAACTCTGATACATGTAAAAGATTTTAAAAGATCAACAGTATTAAAATACGTCAGGGCAGAAAGTGCAAAATAATTTAGCCTAAATTACCAAATTATTTGTAATAATTTATCATCAGCATTGTTTAAATAATACTAGATTTGATAAGATTAGATCTGATTATTAATTCATAACCTATTTTACTCTTTATGGAAATCAAATTATGCAATAATCAATTTTACAAATAAAATAGAGATATTAAGAGTATCTACTTCATACTGCACATGATCTATTCATGAATTTGCCTGTTCAAATGAAGCTGAAAAGGATTAATTTTCTTTTTAATTGATGCCATGACAATGCACTAAAACAGAGACATGCAATGACTGTGAAATAAAACTGGTAGAAAGCAGTATTCATTAATTAAAGTCAATCTTGTTATCTATTTCTAGCTTTATATTTTATTACATTGGGTGTGAATAATAAAATTAAATTGTTATAATACTGTTCTTTCATGGGCAATGACAAACTATTTCATCTTTTTGAGTTCAAGAAATGATTAAGAAATGTTGTTAATTCATGTACCTAATCTTATTTTTCAAATAAATATTTTATTTAGATACCATGATTGGAAATCATGTTCATAACAAATTTGTAGGCATATAATATTTTCATCTAAATCACCAGGGATATATTTTTTAATTTAAGAAGGACGAGGAGTAGTACAATGGTTAGGGACATGAAGTGTCTGATTTAAATCAATTATTAATTGTTAAGCCTCGGGCACTAAACAACACATAGTTGTTTATCTCTTGAGCTTTGTATCCACTCTTTCATGATTCTGATTTGGGGGCCCCAGCCAGTTGTGTTCAGGGTTTACTTCTGGCTCTATGGTCAGAGATCACCCCTGATGAGATTGAGTGTACCCCATAGTGTGCCGGGGAAAGAACAGGTCAGGCCATACAAGGAAAGTTATTTAGCCCCCTGTGTTGGGGAGACAGTAGGACACTTGCCTTGCACAAATCTGAGCAAGGTTCAATCGCCAGTATCCCATACGATTTCCTAAGTCTGACAGGAGAAAATACTGAGTGCAATCAGAAGAAATGCCTGAGAACTGCCAGGTGTAGCCCAACAACCACCCTCCCCCAACTCTGAAGATTTAGGAAAATGTTTAAAAAAGAATTTCACCTTTAAAGACTGGAATAAGAAAAATAACCAGGCCAGAGAGAAAGAAATAGCTCAAAAGATGACTGCCACCCATTGCCTCTTTTGCAAACCACAACACCCAAAAGGAGAGAGAGAACAAAAGGGAATGCCCTGCCACAGAGGCAGGGTGGGAGGGGAGGATGGGGGGTGGGAGGGATACTGGCATCCGTGGTGTGGGAAATGGGCACTGGTGGAGGGATGGGTATTTGATCATTGTACGGTTGAGATCCAAGCGCAAATATTTGTAAGTCTACAACTGTACCTCATGGTGTCTCACTTAAAAAAAAAAAGACAAAGTCCATACTTAGCATGCAGGAGACAAGGGTACAATCTGCACACTACATATGGCCCTATGAGCTCTATCAAGAGCTACTCCTCAGGCAGGGTCCAGCCCTGGTGACTACTGGAGTGTCCCAAAACAAAAAAAAAAATAAAGAACAGAAATGAAAAAGAGTAGGAATAAAGGTTTCTTGATCAAATGAATAGGTGTAAGTGATTTACTGCTTAGAAAGTGTCTAATTAATAATCCTTCAATAAATTTTAACTTCTCTTACTATTATGGTTTAGAATTAATAGTACATGAGGACTAAAAAAATCTTTTCATTCACAAATTCCTATGGCAGGTAGTTATATAGAACTTATAGAAGTTCGATTGTTCCAATACTTGGCAAGCACCTAGTATATTCAAGAACTAGGAACATACTTTTAATTCAAAGATTTAGAGTACTCTGAATATAGGTATGAAGAGGAGGAAAGAGGCACAACGTTTGACCCTTAAACTCATCCAACTATGGATGAGTTCAAAATAACTTCATATTTCCTTGTTCATTTGACACATATGCAGTGAGCAGCCCCTTTTCCATTTAAAATAAAAAACGTGAGTGTGACTAAAAGGGGAAAACAAAATAGATGTGTTATAATTTGAATGGAAAGTGTTATATCTTTAATATAAATGCAAACATGTTAAATATTAATTTAAAGTGAGGAAAACTTTCTGCTAGAGGCAGAAAACCGGCAGAAAACTATCAGTAAACCAGCAGATTTTTTTTTCTTTTTGGGTCACACCCGGTGATGCACAGGGGCTACTCCTGGCTCATGCATTCAGGAATCACTCCTGGAAGTGCTCGGGGGACCACATGGGATGCTGGGAATCGAACCTGGGTCGGGAGCGTGCAAGGCAAATGCCCTACCTGCTGTGCTATCACTCCAGCCCCTAAACCAGCAGTTTTAAAAATAAAAACCCATGAGAACTTTAGCAGAACATATCTGAAAAGAAAATCTATGCTTTGTCATATTTAACATGGAATCTAGAGGTTTTTGATGTATTTGCTCCTTCGGAATATCTATATAATATTTTCTTCCATTTGTATTAGCAATGAGTATAAAACATAAGAATTTTTTTTAGTAACAAACACGATTATCATTTAAGCAAGTTAGAATACTAAAATACTACTTTTCCTTTCTGTTTGTCTTTGGTCCACATCTGGCTGACTCAGGATTTACTCCTGGCTTTGTGCTCAAGGATCACTTCTGGAAGGACCCAGGGGACCCTCTCTCGTGTCAGAACTGGGTTTGTCACATTCAAGGCAACAGTCTTACTGCAGGTCAATCTCTCTAGCCCCTAATATGTATCTTAGCACTGTAGCACTGTAGCACTGTCGTCCTGTTGTTCATCGATTTGCTCGAGGAGGCACCAGTAACGTCTCCATTGTGAGACTTCTTGTCATTGTTTTTGGCATATCAAATATACCACAGGGAGCTTGCCAGGCTCTGCCATGCGGGCGGGATACTCTCGATAGTTTTCCGGGTTCTCCCAGAAAGACGGAGGAATCAAACCCGGGTCAGCCGCGTGCAAGGCAAACGCCCTACCCGCTGTGTTACCGCTCCAGCCCAATATGTATCTTAAGGTGATAAAATTTTTATATTTTCCCAAATACATTATCTCCTAGATAAATATTTAGAGAAACACTGGAGACAGAATATTTGAGATGAAAAGTACACTCAGAAAAATTGTTATTTTATGGTTCAATGACAGGCTTTTGAACTATAAATTTAGCATGATATGATTGCTTATGTGATAACAGGTCACATTCTCCTGACCCTGAAAGATCCTTCAATTGTTGGGAAAGACGAGTAAGAAGAGGCTGCTAAAATCTCAGGGCTTGGAGGAATAGCGATGTTACTGATGCCCGCTTGAATAAATGGATGACAGTGATACAGTGATGATTGCTTTTGTAAAAAGCAGTGATATATTGCTTTATGTAAAAAATATTTAAATTCCAGATGACAGTTTTTGTACAAAAAAGTTATCTTGGAATAAAATATTTAAACTTTTGTTTTTAGATGTCCCTGAGAAAATTAGGGGGCTGGAGATACAGTACAGCAGTCAGGGCACTTGTCTTGTATGCAGCTGAGCTGCATTCAGTTCTCGGCATTCTGTATGGTCCCTTTAAGCACAGCCAAGAATAATTCCTGAGCATGGAGCCAGAAGTAAGCCCTTGAGCACCACTGGGTATGGGCCCAAAACAAACTGTAGCACTGCACTGCACTGTCCTCCCATTGTTCATCAATTTGCTTGAGTGGGCACCAGTAACATCTCACAACAAATTGTGAGACTTGTTGTTACTGTTTTTGGCATATCAAATACATCACGGGGAGCTTGCCAGGCTCTTTGAGAGGGACGGAGGAATCGAATGTCGGGTCAGCCGCCTGCAAGGCAAAAGCCGGACCCACTGTGCTATCGTTCCAGCACTCAAAACAAAATTAAAAATATATATATATATATATAATTTACTTCAAACAAGTTTGATTATTTTTAAAAAACCTAGTACTGAATCTATTTGAAATATAATTAAGTAGCAACTTAAAAATAGGCCATTAAAAGATCAATGATGGGAATTATATCATGAATGCAGGGATTAAGACAATTTGGAGCACCTGTGGCTAAAAACAATCAAAAGACAAAACAATATATTTAAGATATAAATAATAAAGATCATGCAATGGTCAAGAAATAGATGAAAATAAGTCTTTTGAACTGAGTTCAAAGGTCAAAGCTCAAGGCCTGCCTGTCTGCCTGCCTGCCTGCCTGCCTGCCTGCCTGCCTTCCTTCCTTCCTTCCTTCCTGCCTTCCTTCCTTCCTTCCTTCCTTCCTTCCTTCCTTCCTTCCTCCCTCCCTCCCTCCCTCCCTCCCTTCCTTTCTTCCTTCCTTCCTTCTGCCCTTCCTCCCTTCCTTTCTTCTTCTATCTTCTTTTTTTTTTTTTGGAGATACTCAGGGACGTCTGCACTCAGAGATCACTTCTGGCAGAGCTGGGAGGACCATATATGTTGCTGGGGATCAAATCTGGGTTTACTACATGCAAGACAAGTGACCTATGCACTGTATTATTACTCTGGCTCTGAGAGAATTAATTAAAAAAAACTTGCCTTAAGCTATGGTCTGATTCTAAAGAAAATATGTCATATATTAATATAAAGATTATCAGCTGACAAATAAAGGTATGTGAGATAAATCTTAATAAAAATCCATAAATGACCTAAAGTTGTTTAATTTGCAATCTTCTAACAAGTAATTTGCAATTTTTTTGCAGTTGCAAAAAATGCAATCTGGCTGCTTAAAGGTAATCAATTATTTTAATTTATTGAAAAGATACAATATCTTAAGTGACAATAACAGAGATAGTCCCAATATGCATTACGCAGGTATAAGTGTAACTAGTATATTATGTAAATTAATTACCGGGTAGCAATATGTTGATAAATTGGGACAACTGTAGGGTAGAATAAAATGAGTGATCAAATGTTGGTATTGCTATCTTTAA